AATTTTGACATTACTAAGGTTCTTCACCCTATTTGGCTAAGTGTTGAGCAAAGTTCTCACTGTGTCATTTAGTAAGCTGTTGGATGAAGGCAAGCCAGTCGGCCTCAGCACGTGGTAAAGATGAAGTGGTTTCCGGTAAAGATGATTGTTCGAAAGTTTTTCAATAGTTGATAAATCTTCAAATTCTTCAAAATCCGTTAGTGGTTTCTTGGAAAAAACAGCTATGGTTTTATCAACAATACATAATTAATTTAAATCTATTCTAAATTGTTGCTACTTTCATACTTGTGTTTTATCTCATGAAGATGTCAACATAGTTTGCCGAAAGCTCGAGATTACTGTCAAAAAGGTTTTCTAAGGCCCGTATCGTCAGTCGTCCCTACAATTGTAGGGCGCGTTTATGGCCTCCTTGATTGTCATACTCCTTTCTCTCCTTCAAAAATTTCTAGATTACACTTGTCCCGTGTCAGTGTCAGCACTCTCCTATTGTAAAGATATGTTTTCTTTTTAAATTGTAGGAAATTTCAGGCTGATAAAACATGATATAACTCAAAAGCAAGCACAATTTGACGCAAATAGATGTTTGTGACATAACCTCAAAATAGAGCGCTGACACGGTGAAGTAGAAAACTATGACAATCAAGGAGGCCATAAAGGCGCCCTACAATTGTACGGACGACTGACGATACGTACCTAAGCTTTAGGTTTTGACAATTCCCAATAAACGATTTAATTGTATTTTTTGCCCAACTGGTTGTTGGCAATTGCAATGACTTCTGCTCGTATATACAGGGGTAAAGTAAGTAGTGGATCAACGAAAGTCAGGTGATAGAGGGCCTCAAAACCTATCGAATGAACCCCTATATGTGCAAAATTTTATAGTTCAAGAGATATTCGCAATTTTAAGAAATTCCGAAAAAAAAAGGAATAATGAACTTTCAATCGCAGTTACAGTAAGCCATTAGGTTTAGGGCTGTGTTTTTTTTCTGAGATGGGTTAAATGGTTAGTTTTAGCACCGGTTATGTCACCTTTCAACAGAGCTTATTAGAAATCAACGCCAAAAATCCTGAATTCATTTTTTTGTGAAAACTCTCTTCCATCCCTCAACTTTGCAGGGCGGTAACAAAAATGAGGTTGTATTTCAACTATTCAAATATTCCATTATAAAAACTATTTCAATCCATGTAGAATTAACTCTAAAAATTTCAGCTTGCTACGATGAGTGTATCATGTCACATTCGTTGTTCTCATGCCATAAACGTAAGAAACGCAATAGAATCCTTACCACCTATAAGTACAGAACTTATTGTGTTATCCGCTCTTTATGGCGATTTACCCACAATTTTGGACTATTTTCGGAGTTGGTGAAGTGTTGCATGTTATGTAAAAAGCAGTTTAAGAGCGATAAAGGCAGATGCCTACTCGGGGAAAAGTATACAATTTTCGTTTAAGGTAAAATTTTGTGTAAACAATAAACTGTTGATGTTGCTAACAAACAATCGTTTAACATCATATGGGCGTGGCTTCTTCTAACCTAGTCCGAATTCATTGAGTGCACCGACGAGGCGGATTGCGGCCTTTCATGTTGCGTAATGGTTATATTCTAAACCATTAACTTGGCACTAAGGACTGTTATTTAGGGAGTTGTAAATAACTTGATAACATTATTTTCCACCCTGTATATATTTACTCTGGCACTTATAGTTTTCGCGTTATCGAATGAGGTTAATGATTTTTTATAAAAACGACCGGTATGTTGTTTTTTTCAGCAGTTCTGTCATCTCCCCACTCAAAATTATTTCAGAACATCCTGAGGAATGAATATCAGTACATGATGAAACTTTATCATGGCATGGAACTCGCATACTAGTGATTCATGACTAGTATATCGACGTCTCTAAAACTTCTTTGCAATATAATATAGATAAAATTTATATTTTTCAGTGGCTCGATAGTCTAAACCAGGGCTATCCAACATGCGGCCCGCCAACTCCTTTCTTGCGGCCCGCTTCACGGGTCATGTATACATCACAAGTATAAATTACTCTCAAATACCGAATATGCATATACCTATTAAAACTCAGTAATAATGTCGTATGGAAAGATTTTATAATGCGGCCCTCCAAACTGAATTTTTTTTAAGTGGCCCTTGGGCCACATTAAGTTGGACAGCCCTGGGCTAAACTATCCTTCAACTGTGAGCTAAGATTTTAATTCATACTAGTACATGTTAGATGACGGAAAATGAGTCCTACGTGCATGCCTGGGTCGGCTTAAAATTAATTTTTATGGCATTTTACATCGATATATTTAATAGTTGACATTCACCATAGACTGCTGAATAGAACGGCAAGTAGAAAAATGAGTTTCGCTCCGAACGATATCCCAACTATTGTGGTGCTCATGGTAGCATTATATATATCTAAATGCCCCACATGAGAATATATCCAACAAAATCGATATAATCAAAGTATCAACCCTGCTACCTGTGAACATGTAAGCCCTTTGCGCAAATGGTGTTGCCATTAGAACCAGGTGAGATTTCCCTCCTGAATTATCCTTCGACTTTAATGCGACAACTTATACTATTAACGCCAGACCGCCAGCTTCTGACGCTGTGTCTGTGTTCAGCTTCAGCATTCAGGTGCTTGACGCCTCCCTCCTAAATGTCGCAATGGCGTGCGAAATTTAATTATCATTTTACTGTTTATCTAATCCACGGCAACGTGATGAAACTATAGACCAGGAAAAACGTGGATGCAAGTCACTGTTTGAAAGTGAATCAGAAATGAATAATTTTTCCGTTAAGGCGGCAGCGGTGGCCGCAGTTCGGTCTCCTGATCAGTCGCCGTGCGCTGCGCGAGTTCGAATCCCGTCCCAAAAGGAATTTTTCTCTTGGCTATGGATGTTGTGATTGTCCGTAGCTGGTAGACGGTCTCTGACTATCGAACGGTACCACCCGGCGAATCTCGTAGGCGAGGCCAGAATGTGTGCATGTTAAATTACCTTATAAACACAGAATTCGTGACATGAAAATTTTTGGGGTGTATCTGATGTATTTTAAGACCCTTAAATCAAATCTAAATCACCCGCAGATATTCGGTTACATCTACTTTAATGAATTACAATACGTAACATCTCATATTGGATTTCTCGGCGTTTATGCGATGACGCACATATATAATGTTAAGACCTGTCTATTCCCGTTTATTATATGCGAGCTCTATGTTGAGAGAGCATATTGCTTTTATTAGTAGACTAATAGCAGCCGAGGTCAGTTACGTTTCCTGTGTTGAAGGGGACTGAGATGTTCTGAGTACTGTTAATTTTTGTTATAACGGTGTGTTGCTTTTAGTTTATCGTGATCGAGGCTAGCTTTATGGACAATGCCTAGAAATTGGGTAAATAGTCCGAACAGTTTTTGTTATGTATGCGGAGAGCTAACTTTTAAATTGCAAAATCGTACTTTTACCCCCTTTGTGTCGAAAGCATACGAACTTTATTTTGGAATTAAAGTTGGCGACGAAGATAAACTATGGGCCCCTCATATATGTTGTAAAATTTGTGTAACGTTGTTAACAGGTTGGTTAAGAGGCGACAATCGTGAAATGCCTTTTGCGGTACCAATGGTTTGGAGAGAACCGAGATACTATACTACTGATTGCTATTTTTGCCTCACAAATATCAAAGGTATTGGACCAAAATCGAAACATACTGTTAAGTATTTTAATTTACCATCTGCTTTGCGGCCCGTTAAGCATAGTGTTGAACTTTCTATCCCAGTTCCACCAGAATCTTGGTCTTGGGATAAAAAAAGTTGAATCCACCGATTCTGAAAGTGATGGTACAGAAAAAGTAAAAATTTCCGATCCTTCCTTTGACCTGCCAGGATGTTCAACAGCGCCGCATTTGATCAAACTGGTCGAAGTCAATGACTTAGTTTGAGAATTAAATCTATCAAAATCCCAGTCAGAACGGTATCAAGGCAAATGGAGTGTCAATTTGCTTGCTGATTATTGCTGGACATTGTTAAGAGATACTTCAGAAGCAGCATATCACCGTAAACATCGACAACATGATTCTGAGATAAATGTTTATTCGTGTGCTTATTAGTACTCTTATACACATATCCTTATATTTTACGAGTATATGCAGCAAATAAAATGCCTTACTGCTAGAAAACCTTTTGTGAAAAAATCTAATGACATTTCCGGCTTTTTTGGGTACGTTTTACATAATAACCACCTTGTTTTGTCCATGTAACAAAAAAACATTTTAATTTTGTCAATGATACAAATGGCAGGTATTTCTACTTTTACCCGATGGAATAAACAGCTGCCCAAGTGTGAACAACGTTACTACTCGAAATGGTTTTAAAAAAAATCGAAATAATTTGATTTTTTGGAATAAAACTGCTATTCTCACCAAACAATATTTATAAAGAAATACAGGGTGCGGCGGAGAGGACGGACGTTTTTGGGATGGGTAATACTCTCCGCCTCCATCTACGAGAGAGGTGGGGAGGGTGCCGTTTGACTCGTGAGATCTTAGCATTATTTTACCAGTTGTCGTTATGGAGCCTTGGACCCTCAGTTCCGAGCTAGCAGCCGTCGCGAGTATACACTTGTGCGACTGCGACCCACCCGGACTTACAGTGCGATCTTATTGTGATTTTCATCACGATACGATCGCCATCCACGATGGCGAGAATAGAAAAACTGACGAGCCAGCTGAAGCAGAACGAGGATAATTTCGCAATGCTTGCTGAGCAGATGAAAAATCTGCAAGAAGCATTCAAGCAGGCGAGGCAAGAGATAGAGGAAGTGAGGGGGAAGCTCCTCAAAGCGAAGAGGAAGGCGAAGAAGACGGTAGAAGAAGAAGAAGGTGAGGACCAGGGAGACGAGGACCAGCAGCCTACGGAAAACACTACCGTCAGCTAGTCGCACTGCTGGACTCCATCAAGCGGCCCTTCTTCACCTATCAACTGAAGGAGGACAGGATGGACCAGAGGGTCATTCGTGGACTACCCAGGGAGATGTCAATCGATGACGTCAAAGAGGGTCTAGTGAGCCAAGGTATCGCAGACGCGGAGGACCACCAAGAAGCCCCTTCCGCACTTCCTCGTCAAGACGAAGATGCCGGAAAAGCTTCTAGAGATCCAGAGGCTGGCCATGCTCACGGTCAGCTTCGAGAGGAAGAAAAAGTCCACCGAGCCCAGCCAATGTTACCGCTGCCAGCGGTACGGGCACACACAGCGGAACTCCCGTCTCGCTGAACGGTGCGTTAAGTGTGGAGAGGACCACAGCAGCACCAGCTGCAGTCTGCCAGCGCCGCCAACAGGTTAACGAAACGCCAAGTGTTGCCTTTGTGGAGAAGGCCACCCCGCCAACTACAAGGGATGTAGTAAGGCCCCGAGGAAAGCTGCTTCTACCCCAAAGCAGTCCCCACCACAAATAGGACCTCTTACGCTCAAAAAGCGAAGAAACCCATGTCCACTTCTGCCCCAGCAGCCGCCACTGCTACTGGAACTACTGCGCAGAATCAACACGACGATGACAGACTGCTAGCAATGATGCAAGCCATCATAACCCGCCTGGATGCACTCGAGGCCAAGATGCAAGACAAGCATTAGACCCGAAATGACTACAGGGCAAAACGTAGAATCTCTACGCATTATCTCCTGGAACATCAACGGATTCAGGGCACGGAAACCAGAAATCCAGGAGATACTAGACCAGTACCAACGAGAGGTGATGGCCATCCAAGAAACGAAATTGGATGCTGCCCATAGTCTGACGTTCCCGCGGTACGAGACGTACCGCTACGACAGAAGAGGCAGAGGTGGAGGAGTCGCATTACTCGTCAAACGTACCTTGACGAGTCATGTCCTCGACGATGCCGCAGACATCAATGGGGACGGAATCACGGTCCAGGTCCATCACAACCACCGTCCCTACAGAATCACCTCCCTATATGTGCCACCAGGGGAGGCCCTAGACAAAGATGACATCGCTGACCTCCTGAGAGGCCCAGGAGCACGCATAGTCATCGGAGATCTAAACTGCAAGTCTCCGGCATGGAACAACAACGTCGAAGACAGGAATGCAAGGCAGCTCTAGGAACACGTCGATGCCCTGGCGGGGGTCATCGTCGGTCCGGAGCAACCAACCTACATTCCATTAGGAATTGGGCGACCTGCGGTACTGGACATAGCCATCCTCCGCAACATCAGAGAGGAGTTCGAGATAGAGACCCTGGTGGAAGGATCGTCGGACCACAATCCAATCCTACTAACACTTGGCACAGGGTCTAGAACTCGAGATAGCTTGAGCACCAAACGGACGAACTGGAACCTGTAAAAATCCAACGTCCAAAGGAACATCACTCAAATTCCAACCATCCGATCAGCGGAGGAACTGGACAACGCAGTAGAGGAGCTGGAGAAGGCTGTCCTGCGAGCGCACGAGGATAGCACCCGCTCCGAGACTACGGCAATTCCTAGACAGCTAAATGGTCCAGCACCGCACCGTATTAGGCACCTGATCAGGGAAAACAGAAGACTCAAGCGAGAACATCTCCAGCTGTTGACAGAGGAGTCGAGAGTTGCGCGAAACAGAGCATCGCTAGCTCTGAAGAACGCACTCGCGGAACTCCAAAACAGCAGATGGAATGCAGCCTGTGCAGAACTAGAGACCCAGGATGGTACGGCCTGGACTATGTAGCGTAAATTTCGTCGTCAGCGCACCACGATCCCCACTCTTCACGGCCAACGCGGCTTGGCCTACTCTAGTGAAGAAAAAGCCGAAGCATTCGCCGATTTGCTAGAATCCGAATGCAGACTCAATTACCATGAAGACGAGGACGACAACCACGAGGAGGCCGTGGAAGTCGCAGCCGAAATCATGAGGAGTCGACCACCTGGCCAGGAGACGGATCACCCCTCCAGTCCAGAGGAAATCCGTCTGATCATCCGCAGGTTGAAGGACAGAAAGGTGCCGGGAAGGGACGGCATCAACAACAGGATGCTGAAGAACCTTCCCTCCAAAGGCATTGCTGCGCCACTAACATCGCCAATGCCACTCTGAGACTTAACCACTTCCCGCGGCGGTGGCGGGAAGCCCAGGTTATAATGCTCACCAAGCCAGGCAAGGACCGGAAGTTGCCCCAGAACTACCGGCCCATCAGCCTGGTTTCCTCGATCGGCAAAGTAGTCGAAAAGGCTATCGCCGTTCGACTAGAGAAGCAGGCAGAAGAACTGCAACTTCTCCCCCCAGAGCAATTCGGCTTCAGATCCTCCCACAACACGGAAATCCAAGCGCTACGACTGACAGAAAACATCACCAGCGGCTTCAATCTCCAGGAGGCAACCGGCCTCGTCCTGCTGGACGTGGAACGAGCCTTCGATCGAGCTTGGCACGATGGACTCATCGCCAAAATGGAAACCGCCGGAATCGATGCGAACATGTGCCAACTGATCCAGAGCTATCTAACACAAAGATGGTTCACGGTGAAAATTGGTACATGCCATTCAACAAGACGACAGCTGGAAGCAGGCGTGCCCCAGGGGTCAGCCTTAGCCCCCCTGCTCTACAACATCTATACTCACGATGTGCCGAAGACAGCTGACACAATGCTGGCCCTATATGCAGACTACACTGCTATAGCCGCCAAGCATCGACGTCCCGAGATCATCCGTAGGAGACTACAGGATGAACTGGACCACATCCAGGACTGGTGCGTGAAATGGAAAATCCGCATCAACGTCCAGAAGTCGCAGGCAGTCTTCATCCAACGAAGAAGGATTGCAAGACCTGTCGAAGCATCCATCTTCGACGAAGATATCCAGTGGAGCGACAAAGTCAAATATCTGGGGATCGTATTTGACAAGTCCCTCACCTGGAAAGACCACATAGAAGCTGTCATCGCAAAGACCAGAGCAGCCATGGCTCAACTCTACCCATTACTGGGTAGACACAGCCGGATGCCGCTAGCGACCAAACTACGGCTGATCAAGGCCATCGCCAGACCTCAGCTCGCTTACGCCTCCGCGGTCTGGGGGTACGCTGCCCCCAGCTACCGCAAGCGACTTGCTGCTCTAGAGATGAAGCTACTCCGGATCGCCACCAGTGCACCATCCTACGTAAGAAACTCAACCTTGCGTAGGGACCTGCACTGGGACACCATTCACGAGTACATGAGGAAAAAAGCGGAGAAGACCTTCCAGAAAGCTCAGGACCACCCGAACGAGCAGCTAAGATTCCTCATAGACTACGATCCGGACGAGAGGCCTCGCAACCGCAGAACCAGGTACCCTAGATCAAGGTCTCAGTTGGCACCCGCTAACTGGAACCTTGACTAGGAGACTAGGAGAACCCACGGTTGCTCCCCCCCCCCACGGCGTGGATGCAGAGGACCAGGAACCACCGGGACCACTAACCACCGGGACCAGGACCCACCGGGACCAGGACCCACCGGGACCAGGACCCACCAGGACCAGGACCCGCCACGACCAGGACCCACCAGGATCAGGACCCTTCAGTATCAGGACCCTTCAGGACCAGGACCAGGAACAACATATTGGTAAGAGGACTTGAAACTCTTGATTTTTCGAAAACAAGAGTTTCAAGAGACCTAGGAGACCCTCTATCGATGATCGCTTAACGACATCGATAGAATGTGCGAGGTAAAGGGAACCAACCCGGCGTTTCCAGAGACTGAAACACATGAGGAGACGTTGTAGCAGACCGCAGGTCACGCACAACACATGGCCTACCGAGACGCTGATGAGTCGGGCCACGCGGAGGTTAGGGTTTAGTGGGTATTAGGTGGTCTCCTCAAGACAACCTGGAGTCCCACACACGCCGTAGCTCGGGCTATGGTATGGTGCGTAAACGCATTCCCCCCTCACCAAAAAAAAAAAAAATCCTTGGACGGTGGAGCACCGCGTTTTCGCCTATGATTGTTTCGTCCGAAATAATAAGTCAGTCATCGTCGTACAGCGTGAGTTTCGTCGCCACTTCAACATTCATCGGAATAGAGCTGTTCCCTCTCGAACAGTTCGAACTCCTGAAAATGTTGAACGCATTCGACAGGTCTTTCTTCGCAGTCCGACTCGATCTGCCCGGAAACATGCTGCTGCACTTCGCCTTAGTGATCGTTCGGTAAGGCGAATTTTGCATATGGATCTCCGCTTTCACCCCTACAAATTGGCCATGGACGTTATTCGCCCTCTCTTCCCTGGTCGCCTTATTTCCAGATTTGGCGATGTTCATTGGCCTCCTTGGTCCCCAGTTTTATCCATATGCGATTTTTTTTTATGGGTACACCTCAAGGCTGGAGTATACGCGAACAAGCCCCGAACTCTGGACGAATTGAAGGGCGAAATTCGCGTGGAAGTCGCCCAAGTTGAGAGAGCGATGTTGGAGAGAGTCTACGCGAACTTCCAAGAACGCCTCCAACACTGCATCAACGATTTCGGCCACCACATGCCTGATGTGATTTTCCACACTTGACTGCCTCAAATGCTATTTCCTTGTGAACCTGATTCCATCAATAAATTTGTTTTCGAGTAAAAATTAACTATTTTATGATTTTTTTAAAACCATCCATCCTATCTGCCGCACCCTGTACTTAACTACATTTTGGTCGATTACTAGTTGAGAGTTGGTAGTGGGACAGTTCGTCTTTAACTGAAACTTTCGTATAGGAATTCCAAGCCTTACTTCAGTGTAACTAAGCTGGAAGTTTCAAGTAATGCATCAAAACTTTGTAAATTCAAGGATTAATAATCCTTTTATCTGCTTTTACTAAAAATCGACCATAATATTTTTACATATCATCATGGAAAACAATGTCTTCTGCTAAATGGAAAACATGATTTTCCCTTTAAACTATAAGGAAACGCAATATATGTTATATTGATATTCGTTATCAGAATAGAGCTCACATACCGTCTATTTGAATTTCGATCAAAACAAATCTAAAAGTAGGTCCTTAGATCAGCGAATGAGCAGAGGCTAACTCCTATTCTTGTTGAGGTTCAAGGTTTCGATGTCTCTTTTAGTAAAATCATAAGCGACGTAGAATAAACTAGGTTATGCTGGCTTGAAATACTTTACAGAGTATATATGTGGTATTAGATCCTGTGAGGTAGCGACTATGGCTGCAACAGGATTTTACCTAGTTTTAACTAGATTGACAAGTGTTAAAACTAATAGTTTACAGAAGTTACATTAGGCAAAGGCGACTAAAATTAAACCTTGTGACTTTTTGCTC